ATCCCACTCTCCAACAACCTATATTCAAATTGTCAGAACGTTAAGTATTGTAAATACAGCATTCAATCTACGACTTTTAACAATTTTACCACAAACGAATTTTTCTTTCCACTTACAAAATCACCAGTTGCCCATAGAACCGATCGATTCCATCCACATCATCACATACATGCCACAATCATGTCTGTTACAAAATTTGAAAACCACACATGTCAATTATGATGAATACTGCATAAATTAAGCTTTCTATTTGTGATAACATCTCATACTCATTCAATTGCTTATTCTTCTTATGCTCCACAAATTTGAAATTTTTCAAGGGATACTTTCCTAGAGATCCACAGGATTCAACCCAAATGCGTTTCTTATTATAAAAATCTAATATTTTAATCTGCATTAAAATATAAGAATTTATGATCCAAAAGAATTATGCATTATAATTTACATAATGTTCTTTCATACATACATACATACCAATCTCTTAGCATCCTTCACTCTCTGTTTAGCTGCTTCAGTTGTAAACATACTATCATATATTGTTGCAACACGATCTACCATATCCAACACCAACAGATACCAATGTGAATTATGGTAGTTTATTGTGATCATGATCTGCAACAAATTTCACACAATTTGACAAAATTCAACATTCTATATCCAAAAACATCATTTGCAATTGGTATGGTGTCTTACCTTCTCACAGTCGGTGAATTTCACATAGTTATTCAATATGGGACCCCAGAAGGTAGCAATACTCTCAACACTTTCTTTGCTGTTGGCATCCAATGCCTGTTATTGCAATTACGCAACAAACATTATTAATTTACCGTCTATAACACTACTTATCTCCATTTATTAATTTAACACCGCTAAGTGGTATGGAAGGTCCTCCGGAGTGACTTCTGAGAATCGTAGCATACTGTCCAGGCGAGCAAATCAATAACCTAATAAAATTAATTACACAATCAGAACATATTCAATAAGTTTTAACATTTTCTACTTTCTACTTACCACACCGCCAACCCATTCCGTAGGCTTCAACGTTGCAACGTCGTATACACTAGCGAATTGATTTCCCATTGAGATTACAGAATATATGTATGAATCATTAGGATTAATATGTTGTCATGAAATATTTAAATATAACTCACAAAGCAATATATTTCACTTACTCCGATTCTAACTCACTATTCCATAAATAATCACAAATTGCAGCTTCGATGTCATCAATTGCTTGGAATATCCGCTTTTTCAACCTACAATTTTGCATACAAATTTTTGTCACAACAACATAATAAAAATCAAATTAAATTCAACTTACCTTCTGCTTCTTCTGCTTATAACATCTATGCACACTCTTATTTCATCTCTTCTTCTTCCTCCTCCCTCTTTTCTTCTTCATATTTTTTCAGTTCATCGTATTTTTTTCTACATAGCTCTTCATCTCTTTTATTTCACCCTTCAATTGATCTCCTTCATCCAAGTATTTATCAACCACCCCCTTAACCCCCGTAAGTTCACTCCTCAATTCCACAACCTCCTTCACCACTCCCTCAAATTTTTCACCCGTCACCATCTTAATATCACCCCTTAACACCCCAACTTCTTTCACCACTTCACCCCTCAACAACTCTAATTCTTTCACCACTCATCTATTTTTCCTTCCACTACCCCCTTATGCCTCTCAAGTGTATCTTCGACTCTCTCAAGTTTCTCTTCGACTCTATCAAGTTTCTCTTCGACTCTATCAAGTTTCTCTTCGACTCTTGATTATCTTTGCATGATATCAAATTGGATTTTTTTGATATCAGCCAATTCAGACATCAAAATGTCGAAGTTGTTATGTTTTCCCTCACCGGCGTCCCACTCACCGTCATCCTCCAATACAAACATCTCTCCTTTCTTCTCCTCTGCCTCCTCTACATCCTTGCCAATAACCTTCAAAATTAAATTACAATATTAAGACATTGATTATATTCTTAATATTATTTAATTACATTTATTACCCTTTCTTGCTTCTTCGCTCTATCCAACTTCAACTTCACCATCACTCTAACCACCTCTTCCTTCCCCCATGCACGGATGTGTGCCACTCCGGTTCTTTCATAAGCCGGCACTGCCTCACAGCTCGACCAAAAATCGAACAGTGCAACCTGCATTTATAATAAAATTTATATTTTTATATAAAAACACAAAAAAGTTCTTCAACTCATTTACCTCTAAGATTGCTATGCACCCTTTGAGGTATCTCTGGTTGCCTTTTTTAAAGGTGATTATTGATTCAATCAATCTCGAATTGATATATTCAGCCCAATTGAATTCACCCTTCAAGCCTTCATCGCAAATGAGCTTCATATGTTCCTTGTTCGTTGACGTATGACCCGTTGGACAAAGAAATATACCGATAAGGTATAATAGAACTCTGGCCTTCAGCTCATCCCCAACGTAAGATCCACTTTTTATTTCCTCTTCAATTTCAGCATATGTCACCTTCTGCTTCAAATCATATTTGGAGGCAAGTGCTTTCCAATCCTTACTCTTACAGACTTCTACAACACTTTTGCCTTCATTTTCTACCCCCAATACGGCTGCAGCACATGGGATCCGAGAGGAAATGAAAAATCACCATACTTAGCAATACATTGTCTGACATCAAATTGCGCCATCAAGGATCGACACAATTCCCTCCGAATAGGTCGATCTCTTACTCCTACCAACGATCCAAAACCTATTTCTCCCAGCACATTCAACTGACTTTTCTCCTTAAGGTGTTTAATTAATGAATTCACACTTTTAATGTTGCATCTTGTCGACACTTCCTACATTTTTTAACAATATATAATGTTATAGTTCTTATATATTTTGTATCAACGTATTTACAAGTTTAATGAATACCTTATTTCATGTGCTTTCCTCCGTTCTTTGTATTCTTTACTATCATTCCTTGACTGTGTGATGTAAGGTTCATTTTCAGCATCACTCATTGAATTCCATTTGGACCTCACATCTTTTGTCACCTAATATTAAACATAAACGTTTCTTAATCAATACATTAACACTAAATACTACTCAATATCAATTTCATTTTACATACCGAATCGCTCTGTGTGCCATCTTCCTTCATCCTTTTGTATTCGGCCATACTGTCAACATTTAAAATTTGTAATCATAAAGTTTATCGATACTTTAATCCAATTATCATTTCAACAATAATAACAAAAAGACATTGATACTTACTAGAAGTACATATATCCACCATTTGGTTGCTTTCGAGTCTCGGCCTCAATTTCAAAGTCATCTGCCCCACCAACAATTTTTCCACCCATTGACTCCATTTTTCCTTCATATATCAGTTTACGCAAATCAAATCAAATACTTGTTACGTACACTTTATTCAATATACAAATATAGATAACTACTCTTGTGGTAAAACAATTTTCTTCAAAAGAATTTGAATGGCCACTACAAAATGTGTCGGCACATTTATACAACCTATAATATCATTTTTACCTATAATATTTAATAAAAGTATCGACATTTATATTTTACCTTGAATATCACTTTCTACCTGTAATCTTTCTCAAATGCTTCTTTACTCTAAAACCCCAAACAACACATAAAAACCCTATTTCCTATTACTGTAATAATTAAAAACTAGGGTTTCGACAACATACTTTTCGATTCGACTGCAGCAACAAACAAACAAACTTCGCTTTAGAAACGCCTTCTGATATGCAGCAACAATTACGCTTCGATTTCAAAAACTCGTCCGTTCTATATATTTTCAGAGGATATTTAGATATGGCCTTTATATTTTCATCGGATATGTTATTTATATTTAATCAATACAAATACAAAAGTGTCGATACTTTTATATCAGGTGTCGATACTTTCGAAAGGATATTTACCTATTTCTTTGAAAGTGTCGATAATGTATTACACGTACTTACGAAAGTATCGACACTTTCAATATATCCGGTATCGTTTTATCGGTTTTATCATTTTGGTACCGGTTTTATCATATTTTTACTTGTTATATCGTTGTGGATCGATATATTTTTTTAAAGTATCGACACATTATAGGCGCTAAAACTGCTTCTCTTTTAAATTCACAAAGTGTCGATTCTTATATAAAGTATCGACACTTTCAATATATCCGGTAACGTTTTATCGGTTTTATCATTTTGATACCGGTTTTATCATATTTTTACCTGGTATATTATTTTGGATCGATACATTTTTTAAAAGTATCGACACTTTATAGGATTTAAAACTGCTTCTCTTTTAAATTCACGAAGTGTCGATCCTTATATTAAAGTACCGACACTTTAAATGTATCCAGTAGCGCTTTACCGGTTTTATCATTTCAATACCGGTTTTGTCATAGTTTTACCTGTTATATCGTTTTGGATCGTACATTTTTAATTTGGATCGACACGAACCGACAAGTTAAGTTTGCCGGTTGCACAATTTTTTAATATTTCTTCATGACTTAGACCTACTACATTATTATTAGTCAACATTTCCGGTAGCGCTAAACCGAATTTATTAAATATCTTTTAATGTATCCGGTAACGCCGTATGTTAGCCGTATATTAACCCGCTTTCCTGAGACAATTTTTAACAAGATCATCGTTATCTTTTAAAAAGAAACTTATTTCAAGCTAACGATATATAATATATATCTATATATATATATATATATATATATATATAAGTTATACGGTCTATATATAAATATTCATACTTGTTGCAGATTGAATCTAATTTAATTAACATGTTGTTGATATATTATATCGAAAAAATTGAGGTTGAACATATCTAAACATTCAATACAAGTTTAGCAGAGAAAAAAGATATGAATAATATATATATTATATCAAATTATTCAAAAAATTATTTTTATTTCCTTTGATAAATTGACAAGAGTATATCGGGACATTAATATCTAAGAAAAAAAATTGGAAAATAATTTATTCAGATGATGGAAAAAGCCAAAATAAATAAATAAATAAAATCAAACAAACCAAAATTACAAAAAATGATGGTGTGTTTTTACAAATCCAAACTCTAGATTTAAGCTATAAATAATGTAAATATATAATAATTTACAAAAAATCATTAATACTCAAACCCTCTGGAATTTCAAACTCCAGCAAATCATCGAATCTTTCTATCTCCTTGTTGTCGTTGATAAATGTAGATGATAAATTCAAAGGAATCGGACTAGTTTCTGGCGTCAACCTCACAGAATCAAAACTAAAATTTTGACTGCCAGCCAGAGATAACGAGTTCGGATTTTCAGATATAAAGGGAGCCGCTGGATTACCATAATCCGTCAAAATTTCCTGGAAAATGCTGCAGTTTGTCATCATATTAGATTGGCTTTGAATGGGAGCTTGATGCTGAAGCTGAAACTGAGAATTGCAAAACTGGTTTTGGTGGAGATATTGCAGCAGCATCTCTGAATTTAAAAGAGTTTGTGCGTCTAATAAGTTGGACTGATTGAGAAAAGATTGGTTGCACAAGGTAGAGGTGAAAATGGAAGAAAGGTCGAGCAAATCAAGGCGTTGCGCATGTGTTATGGGATCGATCCCATTCCTCACAAGCCTTTTCCGGATATGAGTGTTCCAGTAATTCTTGATTTCGTTGTCGGTCCTCCCCGGCAACCGACCAGCAATCGCCGACCACCTGGTTTTGATATGAAAAACAAATGTGTCATGATCCAAGTTCATCACTCGACCACAAATAATGATAATACCGACCAAAACAACCTTACTTGTTTCCGAAAATACTGTGTAGTTGAATTATAGTCTCTTCTTCTTCAAACGAAAACCTCCCCCGCTTGATATCCGGTCTCAGGTAGTTCATCCACCTTAGACGGCAGCTCTTCCCGCATCTTTGCAGCCCTAAACAGTTCAAACAAAACCATTATTAAAACCTGTATTAAAACCAAAGTTTATATATATATATATATATATATACCAGCTTTCTTAGGGACGTTTCTCCAGCTTCCCGCGCCGTGAATCTGAATATAACTGCTGAGCTTAAGATCTTCATCGGGAGTCCAGGGACCTTTCTTGAGGCCATTCTTGTCACTGCAAGGTGTTCTCCCCATTGATTTTTCTTGGAAAAATAAGCTTAAAAAATAGATGAAGACTAATGTGAAGTGTACGCGGAGTGAGATCGCTTAGAATTGAAGAGAAGAAGGCGAAAAGTGCAAGTGTTTAAGATCAAAAGGCAACGATGACCTATATATATATGGAAAGAAGGGTTAGCATGGTTGAAGTCAATGGAATTTGGTGCCGGCCTTCTTAAACGTGTTTCTCTACGTATTTCATTACAATTTAAATGAGTATAAATTATCCACATGTAATCAAGTGTAAATCAATTATGCCATGATATGATAATTGGTCCATAAATAATGTACTACAGTATGTAAAAGCAACAATCTAGGAACGTGGTGAACTCCTGATCTCATATTAAACTTTAGATGTTTTAAATCAAAGGTATAATAGCAAAGAAACCATTAACATTTTGACATTTTTTCAGTTACACCTTTAAAGTTGTTTTTTTTTAAGAAAATTAAACTCTAATGTTTTTTCTTCAAATAAGACATTTTTTTATGTTCAGTGAAAGTCAATTAATTATCAACTTTTTTACTAACATGATATGATAATATTAAGATGCTATTGGAAAAAAAACAAATAAATATTAAGGGTTCCTATTGCACTTATTACGTGGGTGAAAATGTTTTATAAAAAATTATATTTAATTAAATATATTGTAGAAATGTTATATGGCTATAGGGTGATGCTTTGTTCAATCTCGTAACTATTAAAAATTATAAAATAATCTCTGGACTATAGGATGTTGTTTTGTTGAGTCATCCGACTATTGAAAGTTACAAAATGGTCACCGACTATTCATATGTTCCAAACTCATTATTTTTCATTAAAATTTGTCAATTATCCGAATTAGACATTAACCTATTGATTAAGATATGAAAAAATCATATTTTAATAACGCCTAATGGCATCATTGTTTCTTTCAAGCATTGACTTGACTGTATATTCTTTCAAGCACTGATTCGACAGTATAATGTAAACAGAGATTCGATCTATAAAATACAGTTCAAACGATTCTAAGATCAAATTTTATCATATCCAATCAATAAGTTAATGTTTAGCTTAGACGACCGCTAACTTTTTAACGAAAAAGGATAAGTTTAGAATATATGAATAGTCGGGTAACCATTTTATAACTTTTAATAGTCGGAGGACTCAACAAAACAACGTTCTATAACTGATGGATCATTTTGAAACTTTTAATAGACGAGAAACTCAACAAAGCAATGTTCTATAGTCAAGGACTATTTGTATACTTTAACCTAAAACTAATATATATGTGATCATAATTCTCAAGGTGAATATCAAAGGACAAACCAAATGTTGATCTCTATTGGACCGTATATTTAGCATTTGAAATTAAATGATTGGACGGTAAGATAGCTATGCATATCATTGACAATGGAAGCATATTTGACACCGTTTCGTTTTCTGTCCATATCCCCCATTATTGAATTATCTGCTCATCTACGTTAGCTTTCCATATAAAGCATATGTAAAAATCAATTCCATGGGGATTCATATCCCCGCCTCTTTAACACGTGACAAAGACTAATATCGCTGCAGTTGAGAGTTCTGAACAAATATCAATTGAAATGAGAGAAATTATTTATAATACCACAAGTAGCTGACAAACTATGAACCAAAGATACATTTGGAAGAGTAGAATATTGTAAAAATTACATAATACACAGGTGTGTAGATCAACCACTGAATTGGAAACGGTACACAAGCGCTAACACATTGAACCTAAATCATGGAGGCCACTGTTTCTACCTCAGACAACAAAAACGGTATCAAAGCAAACATATTGAATTTCTAGCTTATGTATTGGTATTCACCCGAACATTGCTTGACGGCCTCGTTGGCTGCGGGTGATTCCGATCTTTCTTCTCTTTTCTTTTTCTCCCTTCATTTCCAAAACATTTCAGACAACAGCATGAGGCAACACAATTTAGCAACAAAGATTGGAATTACATAAACAGAGCAATGAACCGCGTCTGTAAGGTGTGGAGCATTTCAAGTACATAGATAATTTGGAGAAGACAAACATGCTGAGAACATTTAGAATTGAAGGTATCCAAGCAGGACATTCATAAAAAAAATCGTATTACCGCAAGTGGTTCGTGTCTGAAAGGTTGGTTTAATGGCACGATTTTACAGTGTAAATGCTCTATCTCAGATTATATATGTTGAACTGCATTCCAGAATACAGAGCAGGCAAAAGAAAGAGTGTAGGAGAGAATTTACCTCTCGACATACTCCTTGAGTAGTTCTTTAGCTTGAACCAGCTTGGAAAGCATATTCCTATACACATCAAGATCTCGATCCACACTTCGTTTGTCGATGTTTAAGGCTGCACAAAGCTGTTGGACGGATATCATAAGTTAAAACCGAAGGTGCAGTTGTTACTTAAATTTGACATTGCAAGTTTCATTCCTGAATTCGGTTAATCCTTCAATGATTTAACAAGCATTAACTTATTCTGACATCTTAGGCGTGCACTCGATAAATGTAAGGTATGGCTCATAAATATACCGATAAAGAGAACAGGAGATGGAGCGGAGTGAGCGAAGCGAACATCAACTGTCCTTACAAAGAAAGTCTTGTAGAGGGGTTACGATTATGTGGGTTGGGGGTGTGGGCTGTGGCCCCGCGGTACGGTACAGTGTTAATTTTGTAATTATGTACCAGGGTTTTCTATTATAAATAGAGATGTAACATAAACCTATTATCATTGAATAAAAAATTTTCTAGCGCCGCCTAGGCACCGAAGACGTAAGCATATTGCCGAACCTCGTTAAAATTCTTGTGTTCTTTCGTTTACTTTGCCCGATTTATCAACAATAAACTCACCTTCTCTAACACCGTTGGTTCAGTTGCATTGGCCAGCTCAAGAAGACGAAACAACCCGACAGCGAAGAAACGGCTATAGCTGAAACTCCCCTTACCCCCAGCTCTTTCCGCAATGTCTTTCAGTACAGCTTCAACTTCTCCATCTCTAATCGAAAACTCAACTAGAGAACTAGAAGTTTGGCCACGGGCCCATTCCTCCAATTTCTGTGCATCAACTCTAAAGCACGAAACAACGAAAAAAAGATAACATTACAAGGAAACCCTCTTCTCATTTACTTCAAGATATAATTCGAAAACAAACAGAGACATACAAGGAACAAAAACCGATTTCATCGACACTACCATATGCAATTCGTTTGTCCTATTATTGCTCGATACTACGATTCATCGATTCGTAAATGAAAGCAAGGGAACTCCATGAAACAAACCTGTACTGTTGGGGGTCCTCTTTCAAGGCATTGATATAAGCTTGGAAAATGGCCTCTCGATCCTCATCACTCGGATATCCTTCCATCAATTGATCAAACACCGTAACAAAACCGAGGGCGAAAACCGGATCATATCGATACGTCTTCTTGTACCTCATCAAATGTTGCTGCACAATCAGCTCCTGCAAAACCGTGTTGTACACACTGGGAATGGGCCGCTTATATGCTTTTAAAAAACTCGACTTTGTCTCAGAAACAGTTGGCGGGACATCTGGAAATCAAAATCCAAAACAAAATTACATCAATAAAAATCGAACAATTCCTATAATTTAATTCACTCTATCCAAGTTCTCCAGCATTTCAAATAAAGGTTTAAAATTTAACAAACCAGTAGCAGTGGACATGCAGTGAACAACCGAAACAGAAGCAGTAGTGGAAGCTCGAAGTCCAACGGACTGATATAAAAAGCTTGCACGGAAACGGAATCCTTCGAAATTGGAAGCTAGGTAACGCGCCGGCGAGACATTAATTTTTCTTTCTCCGGATGTTTGGCCGATTGCCGAGAAAGAAAGTGAGCTGACCGCCGCCATTGGTTATGGAATCTATGTGTATGAATATTGTTGGCTCTGTATGAATATACAGAAAAAGTGGGAAATTTATGGGAAAGTTTGGGTTTTGGGGATTCGGGGTTAAATCATTGTGGAAATCTGAGGTTTTGCATTTGGATTTTGAGTTGAAAATTGAAAGGAAAAGGGATAGACGAGACGGAGAGGCTTATCCAGTGTTGGTAAAATGGGAAATGGGGTTTTTTTCTTGAATTTAGAGAAGAAATTGTGAGGTTTCAACACGTGGACTTTTGTTTCTTGCGCTCCTTTCTCTCTCCTACTTGTGTGGTCTAGGTTTCCATGAATAAGAAAGCCTTTGATTTGAAGCTAAATCTACCACGTTGTATATGTACGAAAATAATTATAGATATTTTAAAAAATGAAAAATTACAAATCACAATTTAAATAATTGATGTATATTAAACATAAAATCTAACGTCACTTTTAAGTCTAATCATAATATTTAAAGTCTTAAATAAATGAACTTTTGATTTAGTATAAAGGTTTATATATTTATTTTATTCATTACAAGTATATAATATATTCTTATTAAACATTAATATATGTGTTATCAAAAATTATTTTCTTATGTTCAACTGAACTAATTTGAAAGATGGTAAGCTCAGGATAATATGAGAATGTAAACATGTTTTAATATAATTTGGATATCATATTTTTACAAATGCGAATATGAAATAAAAAAATAAAACATTACATAAAATTACAAAGCACCACATGAGTCTCTGAATTGTCTTTCCCAAGTGCACAGGATTCCCTTTACCGACTGGGAGTGGTCCTTTTCAAGAGTTGGATGGATGGCTTAGCGGCTACGCCACAAACAACGGGAGAGGAAGCGTAAGAACCGGAAGTCATCTAGTTTAGGAAGCAAAGCAAACAAGGGCACCGATGTTGGCAGATAGGTCCACCGTTAAGGATGGACTAAAAATAACGGGTGAAGACAAATGTTCCTTGAAATTTTTAAATTAATTTATATTTTAATTTTTTATATTTTTAATTAATAATATATTTTTTTCTAAAATTTTATAAGTCTATCTCTGTTTAAAATTTTAAACTTTTATTTTTTATATAAAATTTTGTGTGGTCTCTGTCCATATGATTCAACTTATTCAAGAGAAGATGTTAGCGGAAGAAAGAGTGCTGCAAAATGATCACATTTTTCAAGCTTAATTTACCAAGGTATGCCACTAGCCTGGATATGGTTTATCTGGTATATAATTAAAGGACTACTTTATGGGGATTGTCCCTTGTTTACACTAATTTTGTTTCCTATGTCGTGGTGCTGGAGATTAGAGATCATTTATTTTCAGTCTCTCTTCTCAAAACATGACTTTAATAGGTAGCTTGGGGAATGGTCTTATGATTTAATTGGATGCAACCAAGAATTTAAATTATGATTATGGTCGTATTTTTTTTATTATATTATGTCTATTATTATTATTGATATAGTAGGCACAATTATGGATATAGCAAGTGTTATTATAGTAATTATGGACATCGTAGTCGTACAATAACAATTTCGAATGACATTGCTATGCTATATAACAATGGTTGTTTCAATAATGAACCATTGTTAACTTCCTGGATGCAATGGAAGATTTAAAAGGAAAGCATCAACTACACAGAGCTAAGCTAGTAGAGAAAGTACGGTGTGCTTGTATAAGATATATACAACCTTTCGCAACAATGGAAGTCCACACATAGTTAATTAATTAAACATAAATTTAGAAAAATCTCATACGTTTAAGTAAGAGAATTTAGAATTCATTCTCCAGTTATACATAGTGGTTTATATATTGATTTTTGTTGGAACTAAGGTCGTGATTCTTGTTAGACCTAAGATCATGATGTATCATTGTGAGCCCTCATCGAAGCAAGGAAGTAAAATGATAATTTCCACAAATCGAAACGGATAAAATGTGTGGACCAGATTGATGAATAAAAACAAGTTTAATTTAACCAAAAAAGTTGAAACATAAAAAAAAGCTTTCTGCCTACTTTCTGTGTCGATCTTATCCCAGTGATGAACACGTCAAGGGTATTCATTGACACGCACATGCATGCATGCCATCTGCAGAATGAACGTGCTCGGTATCTTTCGTAATCTGCAAACAGCTCCAAGTCAAGTTTATTTATTTATACCTAACTGCAACGCCTCTCTCTTATCGTATGCTTCCCCTCTCGTACTCTCTTTTCTCCAGAATTTTCTTTTTCTTTTCTCTCAATCCAAACACAAGTGGAGAAAGGCAAAGGGGATTTGGATGTTGGTTAAAGAAGAGATGAGCTTGAGGAACACAAGCAGGGAACTGTTCCAAGTAGAAACCCAGGTCATGCAAGGATTCAAAGACCAAGCTCCCAAAACTGAATCGCTTATGAAATCTTCTTCCAATACTGAAAAATCTGCTAAAACCATAAGTTAAGGTAACAAGCTTAAAGTAGTAAAAGCCGAGGAGTCCCTTAGGACTGTCATGTACTTGAGCTTGTGGGGTCCTAACTAAGCTCAATATACAAATTGCTCATCTGCTTTTAGGCCTTTAAACTCTTGACTGTTTTTTTCCCCAGATCTGTTCCATAAGAGAAATCCAAGTAGTCAAGAGTTTATGCACATATAATAAATACCTATCTTCCTTATTGTACTTCATAGTTGCCTGCATCATTAGGTCTCTGCCTCTCTTGGACAAAGAACTGTTTGTAGAAATGATGTTTTTTTATGTTGAAAGAGGTAGTTAAAATTTTGGATTAGATCAAAAATTGTGGATATATATTTATAACGCCATTATAAAGATACAAAATTGTGACCAATTATGTTATTGTAGCATTGTCTCATAATATATCACTTATTATAATGTATTTATAATTTGATAAAAATATCATTATAAATATTTTTTAAATGATATAATAACCAACTATATAAATAAATAATAGTTTTGATAAATAGATTAATTTGTATTTTTTTTCATTTTATTAGAGATTTTTACGATAAGAAAAATATTATCATTTTAAAATATCAAAATTAAAATATTTGATAGATATTTTTCACATCCTGTATTGTATTCTTAAAGATTGACATAACATATCCTAGATTAATCTTGTTTTAATTATATTATTATCAGAGATAGGCCGAGGGACTGATGGAATATTCGTTCTTTTAAATTTTAAATTTATATATAATTTAAGTATTTTCTTTTTTTCCTTAAAATTTTATATCTTTATTTTCATTTTTATAATTTTTTTGGATAAATAATCAGCTTCATTATCCAAAGAACAAGATCAACAACCAGAACAGAAACTGCTACAAAACCAGCAGTGTTCTGTTTACCAAAAAAAATTTACATACAAAAGAATTAAGAGCAGTTTATATTCTAAAGTCTACAAAGGGTAGAATTAGTGCTATCATTTCTATTTATGTTCCTATCCCTCAGTTGGAATCGCACCACATCCTTAATGACAGTAAACAGCTCTCTGCAGCGACCTTGAAAGAGCCTCCTGTTTCTTTCTTCTCATAGGACATAGATGAGGGAATTAAGAGCAAGCTTCAAGATCAAAGTTAGCAAAGATTTACCTTTCCAAGTAGAGCTTGCCCATGCAAAAAAAACATCCCAAGAGGTTATGGAATGTTGCAGACCAGTGTGAGTGAAAACAGAATTCCATAATTGTTGCGCCATATGACAATGGAGGAACAAGTGATCCCTTGTTTCCCAAGGATCGTTACAAAATAAGCAATGGCATTCATTGATAATCCCCACTTGGTGAAGTCTCACTTTTGTTGGAAGTCTATCAAGTAATGCCATCCAAGAAATCAAGATGTGCTTAGGAATGTGCAAAGGATAATGCCATCCAAGAAATCAAGATGTGCTTAGGAATGTGCAAAGGAAACCAGATAATTTTCTGCCAGTGGACTTGGGATCTATTATCACGAAGTGCATCCCAAATTGTAGAAACTTTCATAGTTCCAGCAGTCAACACTGAGGAAGCCTCGGTTCTAAGTTTAAAAATACGCCTTAAATTCCAACTACAAGAGGGATGAACATTAAAATTCCAAAAAGTGTTGCCTTTAAGGACATAGTGTTTGAACCATGCAACCCATAGAGAACCTTTGCCTGCTAGAATATTATTGATATGGAGGATCATACAAGCTTTATTCCAAGTCTTCAAATCTTTAAGACCAAGCCCTCCCTCAGATTTCATAAGACAGATGTTTTGCCAACTTACTCTAGCTCCTTTAGCAGCTTTATCCTCACCTTTCCAGAAAAAACGTTAGCAAAGTTGCTCAATTTTTTTTAAGGACATAATAAGGAAGAGAGATTTGCCTACACCAATAGTTAGTGATACTGAACAGGATAGCTTTGATTAATTCCATCCTTCCAGCATAGCTTAGAGATTTAGTAGTCCAATGATTTAACCTTGCTCTAATGTTATCAAAGAGAGAAGCACAATCACTTTCAGTAATTTTCCTGGTGACAAGAGGAATTCCGAGATATCTAACAGGAAGTCTGCCAATTTTAAACCCAGTGAGCAGTTTGATTTCCTCCAGAATTGAACAATGAATACCAGCAGCATAAAGGTCACATTTCGAAGCATTAATCTTAAGGCCAGACATCTCATAAAACATATCAAGGACACTAGAAACCCCAATAACAGAATCAGCAGTACCTTTACAGAAAATTAAAAGATCATCGGCAAAAGAAAGATGTGTGAGGCCAATTTTTTTACATTTCGGATGGAAACCAAAAATACCTTTGGCAGTTGCTAAATTGAGGAGTTTAGAGAGAATGTTCATAGAGAGAACAAATAACAGAGGAGAGAGGGGATCACCTTGACGAATGCCTTTAGCTCTCTTAAAGAAACCAATAAGACTCCCATTAAAGGAAATAGAGAATCTAGCAGTAGAGAAGCAAAGTTCAATCCAATTGATGAAAGTACTTGGCATACTAATGGCTTGTAAAATGGTATAAATGAAGTCCCAATTCAGTATGTCAAAGGCTTTATGAAGGTCAAATCTTTAAAGAGCATCTAGGAGATGTATTTTTCCTATTGTACCTGCGGACCAGTTCTTGAGCTAGAAGTGTATTATCCACAATACTTCTCCCTTTTATAAAAGCGGTTTGGTTGAGAGAAATAATATCAGGGATGAGAATCTGAAGTCTTCAAACCAGAATTTTTGAAATTGCTTTGTAGAACACAGAGCAGCAGGATATTGGTCTAAAGTCTTTAACTTTGCTTGGGTTGGGAATCTTAGGCACCAAAGCTATGGTGGTAGCATTGAAGGCTGGAAGAAGGAAGGATTCTTGAAAGAAATGTTTAATGGCAGCAATAACATCCTCAGAAATAATAGGCCAAGCTTGTTTGAAAAAATAAGGAGTATAACCTTCGGGACCGGGAGACTTGTCATTTCCCTGAGAGAATAAAGCGTTTCTAATTTCATCATTAGTAACTTCCTTAATAAGATCTTCAACATTTTCCACAGGCAGAGAGTATTGGAGAATGTTTTTTAACATGCAGGGGTCAGGAGTTTTCACTTCAGGTTCTTTAGTACCAATTAAGTTGGTGAAATAACTTATCACCTCTGCTGACATAGAGTCAAATGTTTCCAGCCTATTTCCTTGGTCGTCAACCAAGATACGAATGGTTTCTCTTTTGTTTTTTATGGCTAGAGCAGAATGGAAAAGTTTGGAACATTTATCTCCATCTTTAAGCCATTGCATCTTAGTTTTTTGTTTTAAAAACAAAATTTCAGCAGCTTCAAGGGACTTAAGATCAGCTTGCAGCTGGATTTCCTTAACAACTTCATCCTCACCTTTTAAAGTTTTAAGTTGTTGGATTTCCAGTTTAGTTTTGTTTTGGAGAACCCTGGCAGTAATGTCACTGAAGTGAGATTGATTGAGATCTCTAAGGTTAGCTTTCAACCGCTTTAATTTAGAGAAAAGGCATTGCATTGGATTTCCATGAGCTGGAATCATCCAAGAGTGACGAACAACATTCAAGAAGTTAGGGTGTTGAACCCAGAAGTTGAAAAACTTAAAGGGCTTGGGACGATTAGTTTGAAATTCTTTAGAAAGCCAAACCAAAGCCAAGCAGTAATCGGAAATACCCGGGGTGAGAAATTCAACATGAGAAGTCTTAAAACTTCTCATCCAATTAGAATTAACAATAACTCTGTCTAGCTTCCTAGCAAGAAAAGAATTAATCTGTTTGTTGCACCAAGTGTAGGAGGGACCAAAGAAAGGGTGATCTATCAGATCGAGGTTAGAAACAACCTCTTGGAAGTCACACATATCAGAGGAAATGAAAGGACCCAGAAGATCAGAAGCACAACTCTCAGAATGATGGAGAGTAACATTAAAATTGACTCCAAGGATCCAAGGAAAATGACCAATGCTATCAGCTAGATCACGTAGCTGTTGCCAGAGTAATCTTCTCACCACACCATCATTAGAACCATACACAACTGTTATAACATAAGGGACACCAAGGTAGGAACCTTGGATAGACATACTTTGGTCAGAAGACTGAATAACAGAAAAGTGCAGACCAGTTTTCCAAAGAATCCAGATTCTACCATTCACAGCGTAGCCATAATTAGTAGAGGCATTCCAGTTTTTAAATTTCTTTCCAATAATATCTCCAGCCTCTCCAACAAGCAAAGAATTTGAACTTTATTATGGATAACTCTCTTGAGAACTTTATCTTGTTTTAGAGGAAAATTAAGTCCTCTAACATTTCAGAATGCAATAATCATTGAGAAGGATTATCAGTGGCAACCCCTTTACCACCATCAACAGAATTCAAAGACTTATCACTTTTATATTTCTTCTTTGTTTTCATATCTTTAATTAAAGCATCCACGCCTAAAGAAGCTTTTTGAGGAATACGATTTTGGTTTATGTTGATCGTGGTTGAATCATCAATCCCACTTAAGACATCAAAACTATTAGATAAGCCTATTGAGGTTGCCTTTGCTTTATCTTTCAAAAGCCTACCCCTACCTTTCTTGCTAGTAGTTAGTGAGTTATCTCCATTTATAATTTTGATTGGAACATTAAGCTCAGAGATTGTAGAAGCCTCCACAGCAGAAATGTTTGCTTCAATAACCGTGGTATTATTGGAAGGATCACTAGTTACAGTAGTTTCAACAATTTCATTAGAAGGAGTATTATCTTTTTCTTGCAGTAATTCAATTCCCCCAACCTCAGGTACAGACTCAGTAACGTTAAGGGGACCTTCCTTCTTTCTCCAGAATTGGGTTTTAACAGGATTTTGAGTTTTAACTTCCTTACAACTCTTCTCTGAGTGACCAAAAATACCACAGGATTTACATCGAGAAGGCATCCAGGGAATTTCAACCATGACCGAAACAGAATGACCTTCATTTAGCACTACATCAATAAACTTAGGTATTTGATCTTTGACCCCTATTTCAACGCAAACTTTAGCGTATTCAAGATGGGATTTGGTTGCAGTAATCGAGTCCATGGAAAGGGGAATTCCAATGGCACTCGAAATGTAACTTAGCCCAGCACGAGAGAACAGTTCCAGAGGAACGTTATAGAGATGAACCCAAATTGGGATTCTAGTTAAATCAAAGTTCAATCTACCTAGGTTCGGTTCCCATTTCCTTAGGATCAAGGGTTTGTTTAAGATATGTCAAGGCCCATTTTCTAGTACCCAGCTCCTATCGGATTCAGAAGAAAATGTGAAAACATAGAGGTTGTTGCCAGCAAAGCTTACCTGGACATTGTTACCCGCAAGAGCTTTCTTCCATAGATTTTCAACAATGCGTTGCATTGAAGTAAATCGAGGGGTTGCACCAAGGAATTGGCCAACCAGTGCATGTTTCCACTCAGCAATTCCATTTTCCAGAACCTCTTGAGGAGGCTGCACAATCGTGGAACCATCGTGAACCCTAGGCGGGATGTATTCCAAGTCTTGACCCACAGAGCATCCAAATAGATTCCTCCTGTTCATTGGGGCTTCACTCATGGTTGGAGACAGAAAAGAGAAGAGAAACGGGGAGGACGTAACGCCAAAGGAGAACAAAGATGACAGAGGCGCAACGGAAATCCTCAGATTCCATTAGGCCAGCTAACGTGCACCCAGAGGAAATCTTATCGTGCGCCGTTTGATTCATTGTTGTAATTAGATGACATGTTTCTCTAAAAAAAATACTAGTACTTGGTTAAAACAAGTTATCAAATTCGAATTTTGATTTTTTTATTAACCTTCAATCAAAATGTGAAATAAGAATGAAGGATTTGCAGCTTCAATATTATTTGTCACAGATTTTATTACTGCAAAATACAAATGGAGACGACCGATTTAATTCAAAACGGAAACATAAACCTCCGATCAAGAGATCGAGATGGTGAACTGCTACAATGCAAAACCGAAACAAAGAAGCCACAAAAGAAAGGAAAGGAAATCGTAGCTTTCTTCTTCAATATTAACTTCTACCTGGATGCCAGCCCAGCCTTGAGAGCTTGAATGGTAGAAACATCAGTCTTGAATGATTTAGCCAATATGGCGTCATCAATGTCGGTGGCGAAAAGGGTTTTAGGAAGCGATACAGTTCCTGCGTTTGCACTTCCGAACGCAGAAATCGCAATAGCCGGATTGTTAGTATCGGCATTGTACTGGTAGTGCACTAATCCTTTCGGGAAGATAAACATGTCACCCGATTGTAAACTCTGAGTGAAAAGCTTGTTCGTTGTGTCGACAAAACCGACTTCCAGGTTCCCATCGACGAGGAAAAGCAGCTCGGCGGAACGAGGATGAGTGTGTGGAGGGTTGACGGAGCTTGCAGGGAACTGAAGAAGAGCATAGGAGACACTTTGGCCATTTAGAGCAGGTAATTCCACCATGGTAGCTTTCAGCACTGTGAAATTCGCAGGAAAGCTGCTTTCGTTTACAATGGCTCGCATTCCTGTGTAGGTGAAGAAGTTTCCATCAAGGGTGCTCTGGTTTTCGGGGACTAAAAAATCAGTGAGAATATCAGGATCACCAGCTACGGCAATTTGGAGTATGGAAACGGAATATAACAGAAGCGAAATGAATTTCAGAGTGGAAATCTTCAAAGCCATGTTGGTTGATGGGATGATTCAAGTTCGAAGGATGGTGCTGAATTTATAGGGTTTAACTACAGGTTTCCGGCTTCGCTTTGTTGCAAGTCAATTTTGGGGGCTGCAGCAGGTGAAGATTACCAAGTATCTTGTGCTTGATTGTGGGTTGGAACTTAGCTGGTTAACTTGACATTCCTATGTATCAAATGATTTATTAGCGACATTCCCAACAGTTTAGCTGTCACATTTTGCTTGTTTTTATTGATCAAGCTAGACAGAGTCGTAGAATAAAGTATTATATCATCGGCGAAAGTTATGTTTTTTCCGGGGTTTTTTTCGACTTTTAATGTCTCGGGTTCAAATATCATAAATATTTGGAGTATAAGCGTTCAATATTAAATAATTGACAGTTATCTTTGAATAAATATTGTTTTGATTAACTCATGAATTATTTCATTGGTCTTTGATAAGTTAATTAGAGGCAAAGAATTAAGTGAGTGACTTTAATAATAAAAGAAAATGTTATTCTTTCAAGAAGTTATGAGTTTGAGTAGCTACATATGTAGAATGTGTGTATGATCAATAATTAAAAAAGATTTTGAATCTATATTACTTTATAATCACCTCGTACTATTAAAAAACTAATCATTAAATATAAAAACCAAATTTAAAAACATAATAACGATCGTTATTCCATACATTAAATTTCACAATTTGTGAAGCATATATCACTAAACCTCCGATTTCTCTAATTACAACAATAGTATTTAGTTTTGACTTCAATTATACAATTGGGTCATTAAATTTTAACGCATGATGACATAGATAAATTTTTTTATTACTGTATGACGTGGATAAAACGATGTCGTTTTATACACTAAACTATAAGTTGTATAAATTTTGCATTTGAACTTTAAAATGATTTAATTTAGTCACTAAATATTTCTGTCCGTTAGTCAATCATCCCTGCCACCAGTCGTCTTTCATAACAATATCGACATCAAAACGTTTACATTTCAATTTTTTCTTCTTTTAGGATTAATTTTTTTTACAAATCCATTTAAAATCAAAATGATATAAAACTATACGAAAATCTATATAAAAACTTCTAATATATAACACCTTTTGTCATTTTAATCACAAAGATGATCTTAACTTGCAACATGTTTCTGTACCCAAAAAAACAACATTTTTAACTTACGTGATCAAAATAAATATTATTTTTAAAATAAACTTATTTAAACATTATTTTTTAATTGTTTTTAAAAAATTATTATTATTAACCTAAATGTGTTAATGTACGAACTATGAAATTTGGAAATGAAATTTAAAAGAAAAATGAACCGAGAAAATCAACTCTTCCTGAAACCTGGATTTCCTCTGCGATATTACCAAGCCGTTTGGCCCGTATCACTAAACCTTGAGATTTTCACTCTTCCACCCAACTTAAAAACCCTAACTTTAACCCTTTGTCGCCTTAATATCCTATTCAACTCCATTTTCCATTGCTCCAAATGGGAAACAAAACCGAATAAAAATTATTTATGGGCTCTCTCCTAAATTTCAAATTTTCAATGGTTGCTGCTTCAAGGTGCTTCAAGATTCTCCTTCGATACAAAGTCACTTTCAATTTCAGTTCCAGTTTGGTTCGTGGTTTGGGTACCCGTGTAAGTAAAAAAAAACGCTTCCGTTTTTCTTTGTAAAGCCATTCGATTGATTAATTTCTTATATTTTTAGCTTAAAATTGATGCCCATGCTTCTATCCCAGAATTTCTTCTCAGTTGAATTCCCTTGTATCCGCCTGTTTTACCCCATTGTAAGTAAAATCGTCCGAAATTGTAACTCGCTCACAACTCAGGCTGCTCCAGATGATGAGAGGATGACAGATGAATTCTTGAATCAAATTCTTGATGCGTATCGACACAGGCCGAATTTGGGCGGGGAAAGGTGTAATGCTTACATTCATAAGCTCTGCAAAGCTGGGAATCTTTCTATGGCTGTTATGTTACTACATTATTTGCGTGATAAAAATATATTCATCCCCACTGCATATAATACACTTTTGGCTGCTGCTGCTGAAAGAAATCAGATTGATCTTTCATTTCAGATATTCAAAGATTTATTGATGTTTCATAGACAATTGAACTCAGCTTGTTATCTTAACCTTGCAAGGTCCTGTGCTAATACTAATGACTGTACAGCATTGATTAGATATGTGAAGCAAGTATCGGAGTTAGCTTTCCCGAAAAACACAATAATTATGAATCGAATCATCTTTGCCTTTGGTGAATGTAGGCAGATAGAGAAGTCTCTTTATATATTTGATCAGATGAAGGGTTTCGGATGTAAGCCTGATGTGATAACCTATAATACTATTTTGGATATCTTAGGTCGGGTGGATGAAATGGTCAATGAGTTTACCACTATGAAGAAAGCTGGCTTTGTTCCGGATTTTATTACTTATAATACGTTATTGAACAACTTAAGGAAGGTTGGGAGGTTGGATATGTGCTTATTGTTTTTTAGAGAAATGGGTGATAGTGGAATTGAACCAGATTTGATTACTTATAGAGAAATGATCGAGGCATTTGGCCGATCGGGGAACACTGAAATAGCATTAAGCCTCTTCAGTGAAATGAAGCAGAGAAAGATCCGTCCATCAATCTACATTTATCGATCCCTAGTTGACATTCTGAAGAAGGCAGGGAAGATGGATTTGGCAATGTCGTTTCTAGAGGAGATGAATTTATCCATTTCAGACTTATCTGGTTCAAAGGATTTTAAACGAAAATCTGATTCAAAGGATTTTAAACGGAAACATTAGTTATGTAATTGATTCAGGAATTGAACTTCCAAAGAATATCTTTTCTGTCATCTTGAGTACTTCAGTTTGGCTTAAAGCAGAATACGGATGCGTTACAAACGCTCCTTCGCACAATAGTACTGATGTTGGTAGGTGCATTCTGCGGTCTACTTTCTTTTTTACATTTGAGTTGGTGATTAATGGTTGCCATCCTTGTAGATTTATAATGTAACCTGTGATTTATAAATGATTGATAGCATGGATTTGTGTCATGTGAGACTATCGTTTTCATTATGTAACGTATGACATCGAGGATGACATAGTTGATGTTTGTTGTTTTCCTTCAGGTATTCTTGACATGAGAAACAGAGGGAAGCAGAGCCAAAGGCCAAGCCCCAACCATGGACAATATATGGTTCAAATTGGCCGAAATGACTGTGCATTCAAGCCTGACATTCATCTGCAATGTAATGGAAATCAGTTGTCATTTTGCCAATGGTCAACTTGCTTCAACTGACGGCGATGCTGGGTAAGCGAGCTTCGTGACTTGCGGCTTGTATTTTGGACAATAAATCACATATATGAAACAAGATCAATACAAATAAAGTTTTCTAGTTTATTATTACATGGTTCTCTCATGTTGCTGCCTCAAATGCGGCTTGAATCTCTTCCTAAAATCAATCTTCGAGTCCAGTCAGGTACCACCAGCACCCAAGTACGCTGGCTCATTTGTTTGCTGAACCATGATGCATGAGAAAACCAATCATGTCAAATAGATACGCAAGGTGTTTGTATCTTGGAGTTAAAATAAAAGATCAAATTTAGCATTTGTCCAAGAAATATGAATATTAATGGATGCACAACTAAGAGAGTATACTGAAATGGACTCGATTGATGATGATCGGAACGGACCCTCTGAATCGCCGGTGTAATTGGGGATTATTTCACATTGATTCTTACGGTTGAAGCATTTAGAAAGATACGCAGCCTGTAGTGCGGCAACCTGAAGATAAAGCAATGAGATCGTGAAGTCTCTTAACAAATACCTATCGACAGTGGAGCTAATAAAGCCAATCTAGTAAAATATACGTATACTACCGAAACTGTAAGACAAACAACGAAAGTATAATACTTATTGACGAACATATAAAAATAGATATTTAATGGGTAAATTATATGGATAGTCCCTTATGTTTTTTATCTGTTTGATTTTAGTCATCCATTCAAAAAATGATCAATTTTGATCTCCTATGTTGTATATTTAATATATGAAGTATAATACGAAATAGTATTTAATATCCCTTTCACAAAGTATACCATAGTTTTCCACTATGAGAAAGTCTATTTTTCTTCTTAAAATGGTTAGCACGAAATAGTGTATGGTGGTCCTTCCACAAAGTTTACTAAAGGTCTTTCATTAGTGAGAAGTCTATATTCCTCTTATTCTTCTTCTTAAACAAGTTAGTACGACATGAAATAGTAGTATCTAATATCCCTTTCACAAAGTATACTATAGTTTTTCACTACCCATACAGTGAGAAGTCTCTTCTTCTTTTTCGTCTTCTTCTTCTTCTTAAACGTGTAAGTACAACACAAAATAGTATCTAATAGCCCTTCCACAAAGTATACTATAAATATTTTTTATAGTCTGAAGGATAAATATTTTATATTTTTTTATTAAAAAGATGGTTTATATTTATTTAACTAATACTTGTAAGTTGATATATGAAGTGAGTCACAAGACAGATACAATGGAGATTAAGTGAGCCTCAAGATCCAAGTGAATAGTTGGACAAAGATAATTTTAGTCTTATGAGTTACGAGATGAGACTGATTTTAGATTTTATACTTATAAAGACTCGCAAAGTGAGAATGATGACGAAAATTCTTGATAGAAATGAATACAGAGAGCATCCCACGCCTAGTTTATCCAATTAATATCTCTAAACATATCTTTAATCATGGTTAACATTAGATTCCAAATTAAAATCTCGAGATAAATTTAATTTAATTTTAAATTGATTGACATAATTTTTATTATAATTTTAACATCTCTATTGAAGGATTTAGGTCATTTATGAATTGTATAAAAAAACTGATGAAATATTTTTTTTAAATGCCTTACTTGGGTATTGCTGTTTAGGTCCATGAACAAGAGTCCATCGAACCTATTAATGTTTGGTTTGACAGAAAATTCAAAAGCCCGCCATTGACAAAAGTATACAGCTTCGCGGCAGGTTCCAGAACAACCCAGGCCCTATATATAAATACCATTTCTTTCTTGCATGCAAAGTAACATTCCCTTCCTCTTCTGTCCTCGAGTCGCTCCGCCGAGAGACTCACCCCAAAATATGGCTCCTCCCACTCGTACTCTCTCTGCCACTGCCTCCCCCAAACTCGCCGTCGCCAGCCTTCGGTACTCCGTTTTTCACTTTAACTCAAATTTATTTATTAGTATTTTCATTTCATCAGTGTAGACATTTGCAGTCGATATAAAAACTTTTAACTTCATTGGTTTTCATCAGTAGAAGTACAAGATGATGTATATGTTCGAATCGGGGTTTAGCCTTTATAGGGTTTTTGTGCCTATTCGATTATATTTTTCTTGTTTGTTTGTTCATCTCTTTGTTTTTGTGTCTTTGTTTTTGGTTGCGTTACTTTTATTGCAATTGTAGATATAAGGGATGTTATTGTGGTCATTGTGGATATTGGGTAGTGCAATAACGGTATCGCTATATAACGAAAGCTCTTTGAATTCCTGCTAGCATATATATGTGCTGTTTCTATGTTCTGTAATTTGTTGATCACTTAGGATATCTTTGTTTACTTTCTATGTTTTTGGGTTTCTCTGGCCATTTTTGAATTGGTGCACTCATTCTTTTATAGTGAATACATAATATGTATTCGAATGAACTTTTCACAGTTAATTGTGAAATTTTGGGCATGCTTTTCGCTGTTATAATCCATCGGTTGTTGTTATTATAGGAACTGACTGCCTGAATTGTTGGAAGGATTTGCTATTTAATTGTTCATGCCATTGAAACGTTCTTGTTTCCTGTTTGCTTCTTTTTGTATGCTGACTTATGTCCTGCTTGACAACATTTGTACTCGACCAGGTCTAGGGACTTGATTTTGAACCGATGCTGCAGTGTCCGCCTTGGAGATAGGCCCTCGGTTGCAGCATTCAACTTGAGTTTGCAGGCCACTCGTTTTCCTATGTTTCCAAGCAACATTGCTGCACAGGATTTCTCACTTTCTATAGGTATGCTAATTAGCATAAAGGATGCCGTTCCTTGACTTTGTCTTCATAGTTTTTGGTGAAAATATGTTGTAATGAATTCATAACGTATTGGCAGCCTCGCGGTATAATCGCCTTTCTGCCTCATCACCACAGTTTTTAGGTGAAGTTGCAGACATTCTTGCCTCATCAATGCAGATTCTGGATGAAAATGAAGGTGACTTGTGTCATAAAGTCAATGTCTTACCTAGACGGCAGAGGTCTCTCCTAACAACAAGAGCATATAAGGATGATATATTCAAATTTCGTTACCCTGTGATACCCGAAAAGCCCGAGTGGTGGTGGAGGACTTTGGCCTGTATTCCCTATTTAATAGCTTTGCAGATTTCCGATACCGGATATTTTCTTCAACCCTTCCTAGAACAACATGAGATTCTTGAAAACTTGATTTATTTCGTCCCAGGAGCCATAAAGAGATTTCCTCCATGGTTCTCAATGATATATTGCTATTTCGGATATATCGGGATAGTGAAGAACAAAGACTGTCCTCACTTCATTAGATTCCACCTGATGATGGGCATGTTGTTGGAAACTGGTCTGCAACTAGTGTGGTATACAAGCAACTTTTTCCCACTCATACACTACAATGGCATGTTTGGGATGTACTTCTGGGCCGGCATCGGATTCAGCTTCATCTTCGCTTTGTTGGAATGCGTTAAGTGTGCTCTTGGTGGTAAATATGCCCACATTCCTTTTGTGAGCGATGCTGCATATACATACTCTGTTTAATATAGGAAGAATTCAGAGGCCATTTTAGAAATCTTTCATGGATGTATGAGCTTAAAAGTAAAAAATAATTGCTTAGGTTCATCTGATTAGATCCAAGTTTTTTAGAGGAATAAAACGTAGTGGTTTGATTCTACAAATATTATTTTCATTTTTACGAACAATGTTCATGTCTCAGTTTGGTGTTTAATGACATATAGGTTTCAATCGAATGACTTTGATGGTAGTGAGAATGATTGCAAACCATCATTTGAGGGATGGGCCTTGGTTTGTACCTAAATCAATGTTAAAAATACTATACATATATTTATCAAATGATCTCATTGTAGTGGGTAAAAAAAAATGGTATTTTCTCTTGAGGTCTTAAATTTAATTAGTTACGTCTATTATGTGTGTTGTCAATAATTAAAAAAATATGAATATATATCATATTGTAATCATTTTAAACTATATAAAAAATATGATATTAACAGTTAATTTTATTGCATTTGGATTTTGTACCCTTTTTTATTTTTGAATAATATTCAATGTTTTGTTGAACAGCTTAATTGATAAATTAATGATAATGTGAATAAAAGAGATGAATTAATAAAATTTTAAAACATAATTTAATGTAAAATTATGAATTTAATTAATTTTATTGAAAAAAGTTTGAGACCTTTTTTATATAATCTTTTAGTTATTATTAAAATAAAATTAAAATATAGGTTGAATTGCTACAGTATTTTAAGGTAATGTCTAGATCATTTGGCATATGTATGGATCATTTAAGGTCTTTCCGAAAATATATGTTTGTAGGTCATTATCACATTATATAAAAGACGTCAATTCGTTCATATGTTTTTATGAAGACACCTAATAGTACATGCGTCTCTTTTAATGCAATGTTCACTTCTCGACGATTTTTTTAATATATCATCGTTCATCATTTTTTTTTTCGATTAGACACCATTCAGATTATATTTTTTGATCTAACATCTTTTGGAGAAAGACGCGCCTCCGGCAGCGCACGTATCGTTGATTTGGCGTCACGTGGGGTAAGGCGCGCCCTTTGAGACGCGTATTATGCTGACATGTGATACACGTGTGTATAGCGCGGCCCCTGGGGTACGCTTTCGGCCACGTAGGGTATAGTACGGGGCAGGGACCGCGCCTTACCTTTAACACAATTATGTTAGGCGCGGACCAGGAGCCGCGTTTTAGCTTTATCTGATATAATTATGTAAGGCGCTGTGCAAGTACCGCGTCTTGTAGTTTTTCCAGGCTATAAATACCCTTTCCCTCCGGTAACTTCTCACATCTCCTCTCTATTATAAAAAAAATAATACAACAATCCGACAATCTTTTCATATTTGATTCAGAAGTTCGTGCGATTTTTCGTTATTAGGTAATTTTGCGATAATTTTTTTATTATACTTATTATTTATTATGATTATTTGAAAAACTATTATACTAATTGTTGTCAATTAATTTTTGTGTTTGTAAAATTAGAAAGCGGGAGCATATGTCGAAATAGTTTTGCGGTACAGGAAATAATATAAAATTATATTATTTAAATTATTTACGTTTATATGTAAAAAAATTTATTGTGTTATATTTTCATTCATATATTATTTATTTAATCAGCTTTGTTTTAGTTTTTTTTTTTTGCTGATATAATATTGTCGCACTTTTAAACTCAAAGAATGGCGTGACTTTCAGCTATTGTTTATTGTGATGGTGAAATTCGAGAAGATGAAACCGGCGTCATTTGCGTATCAAATGAGCGTGTTAAAATATCATTGAAGAGAAACATAACTCTTGAGGAGCTGATAACAAAGATTTCGAGGAAGATTCATGTTGGAAGTAGTATAAGAATGTCGTCGTTGCAGTACAGATTTCCAACATCATTGTTGTCATTAACTTATACAACGTTCAAACTCTCGAACAATGATGATGTTGAAATGATGGTTGATTCTCAAAGTAATTATTCAGACGACGATATTGAGATGTATGCAAAGTTTATTCAAGTACGTGTTGTTCGAGATCAATCATTAAGCTCCCACTATGGGCTGGCTGAACAAGTTGACAGCCCGACGAGATTAATGTGTAATGATTTTAATACCATAATGGGGAGACATCCATCCGCAACTCCTTACGATATGTACCGAGGTGGGTTGACGAACAATCCGTATGGCAACATCGCGTCCAGTTCAAGGGGAAGACATTCATCTGCAAATCCCTTTGACCTTAATATAGAGATGCCATCGACTCAATAATCTGTGTAGTTTCAATTTGACACGATGGCTTCAAGCTCCAGGGGGAGGCATTCGACTGCGAGCTTTTTCGATCTGAATATCGATATGCCTTCCAGTTCAAGGGGAAGGCGTGCAAGTAGTAGGTTCTTCGACCTAAATGTGGAGAGCATTGAGGAACCATCATATCTACCAGAAAAACCGCTTCGTGAGCCTGGTGCGGATGATGCTGAGACTGGACTATTCATTCTCCCAGAATCACCGCAATTTAACTTCGATGATGATGATGATGTGGATGAAGTTCCAACAAATATGACACAAACTGAACCTCCAACACACATATATGAAGTTGATTATGATGTAATGTATGCGCCAGAATTTGTGGATATACCTCATCTCGGTGACTATGGATATTACTCATCAATAAATAATGATGAGTTATATTTAGGCATGAAGTTTTTAAGCAAAGAATAAGCGATGATGGCTATAAAAAAAATACAATATATGTAATTCTGTTCAATCGAGAGTCGATCGCTCAACGATAGAAAAATATGTATGCTACTGTGCCCGACGCGAAAACAGATACAATTGGATGGTTCGCGTATCGAAGAAGAAGAGGAAAAATAACATCTGAGAACTAACAGTATACAACGGTCCTCACACATGTTGTGCTGGAGGGGTCAACCAAGATCATCCCAACTTGGACTCGGAAGTAATATGCCAAGCCATCATGCCCATGGTAAAAGCAAGCTCTCATATAGCTGTTGTTGTGTTGATTTCAACTATACAATCGCAATATGTGTACAATGTCTCCTATAAAAAAGCTTGGTTGGCAAAACGAAATGCCATTGTCAAACTTCATAGCGAATGGGATGCATCTTACAATGAACTTCCAGGCTGGTACGGAGCTTGAATCCTGGGATAATTGTGGACTTTGAAACCTCCTATGCATACCATAATGATCGAGTTCTCCGTGATCGACGCCAATTATGCCTGGTTTTTTGGACTTACCCACAGTGCGTTAATGATGTCAAATACTGCAAACCTGTGGTCCAGATCGACGGGACTTTCTTGTATGGAAAATACAAGCAAGTTTTATATTTGGCAGTTGTCCAAGATGGCAATCGCAATATTCTTCCAGTTGCTTTTGCTCTTGTCGAAGGAGAATATACAGATTCTTGGGCTTTTTTCCTCCGAAATTTACGTGCACATGTTATCACGAGGGAAAAAAATATGTGTCATTTTAGATCGCGGAACTGGGATCAAAGCAACAATTGAGTCTTTAGGTCCAATGTGGCAACCACCATTTGTCCAACATAGGTATTGTCTCTGACACATTGCTACGAGCTACCATGGAAGATACAAGAAGAATGATGAGCGTCAATTACTTGTGCGCATGAGTAAGTGAAACTGATGTAGTTTATTTTCTTTCGATCCTTTTGATTTGGTTAGTAAGTTATACATTTTTTGATCAGATTACGAACTTCTTCCTCGAACATTTGAATCAATGCTTCAAGATTTGTGGGCGAAGAACGAGGAAGGATACGATTATATCAGCCTCATCGATAAAGAAATGTGGACGAACGCATATGATGGTGGATATCGATATGGACACATGACGACCAACTTGGCAGAGGCAATCAATTCAACCTTAAAGGGTGCACGTCACTTACCTGTAGCGGCTTTGGTAAAGACTATATATTTTCATTTGGGGGCGCTTTTTGCGAAGCTCGGGGGAAAAACTCAAACCTGGATGCAAGGCTGTCATGTCTATCACCCTATATTAGTTGCAGATCTATAGAAACAAATTGTTGCATCAAATGAGATGTTTATAACAAGGATGTTTGTAACAAGCTTCTCTAGAAGGCATGAAATGTTTCGTGTCACAGAGTTGTCGCGACCTCTTCAAGGGATTGAAGTTGTGTCGTTAAGAGTAAATCTAAGGGATAGAACGTGCGACTGCGAGATTTTTTCAAGCTCTGAAATATTCATGCTCTCATGTGATAGCAGCATACACGTCAAGACTATAACCATTTTGTGGATCACGTATACCTACTATCTGAAGTTTTCAAGGTATATGAATTTGAGTTCCCCTATAGGTAATGACAAAGACCCTGATGGGGTTCAAGATTAACTTTCGATTGTACCAAATCAGAGTTTATTGAGGGAGCGTGGCGTTCAAAATCCAATCGAATTCATTGTGATATGGATATTCGAGAAAGATCTAGACAAGACAGAAGACGTGGGCATTGTAGAAACCCATGACACACTAGAAAAACATGTCCACTTCTATTGTCATCAAGTAACAATTGATGAGGAAATAATGTAGTTGTTTATCAATTAATAATTATTGTACTTTAATTTGCATTTACTTCAAGTTAATATTATTCGATAACCGCTGATGAAGATTAAAAAAACGATACAATTATATGAGATTGGACGTTGGCGTTATATTAACGATACAATAAGTATTAAATGGTAAATGATTACCAAATTACAATAATTAATATTAAATGGTAATAAACAAAATTAAGCAAAATAAATTAACAAAAAGTCCAACAAGTTTAACAAAATAAATTAAAATAAATCCAACCATATTAACGAATTAAAGTAAATATTAAATGATAAATAAAAAAATACAATAAAAAAATCCAATAAACAACTACAATAAAAAATACTAAATACAAATATAATAAAAAAACAAAATCTATCGATGTCTGCGACGCGAATGTGTTCCGCATGGCGGTGGTTGTCGGTCTCCAGGAGGATTTCTTCGTATCACTCG